GACCGGGCCGGGAAACGTGCGGTGATCCTGCCGCCGGCGCGCGCCTGCTGGGTGGGCGTCGGTTGGGCGCCTGCGGTCCAGCCTCTATCGCGCGGCTCTATCTGAATTTCATTAATACAAAATAAATCGTTCGATGCCGCGTCGCTGCTATTTTCGTATGAGGGTGCCTATTGCTAAAATTAGCCGGGCGCGAACGAGCCACGGGTGTACAACGCCGACGCGTTTCAATGTTGCAGTCAAGCTGCCTCGATTGCAGCGCAGCTACCCGCTTAAAACTGCTAAAAGTTACTCCGCAGCGGCCCTTCTCCGGCCGACCGCTTAGTCACTGTGCTTCGCGGCCTTCCACCGTATCTGGTTGCGACAGAATATTGGCCACGCCGGCGCACAAATCTGAACACATTGTCACCTAAACTGCCACACCTACCACCACTGCCAGCGCCGTTGCCGCCCCCAGGATCGCCATGGTCAGCGTGAAGTCCTGGCGGACGTGGCCCACGACCACGCCCACCACGGTCCCTAGCCCGAGTACGCAGTACAGGAGATTAGTGCCGAGGTTCTGGCCGTGGAAATCCTGCGCGTCAGTTTAAGCCGGTCCGGCGCAGAAAGGCGGCTGTCTACATGCCGCTGTCGGCCGAGGACCGCCGACGTGTGCGTCACCTACCACTACATCCCTTCGGATCGCTTCCACGGTTCTCGACAGCCACAGCATCGTTACAGGGCTCCGAAGGTCGTTGCAGTCAGACGTCGCTCAGCCGATACGGTGCCGGCGAGTTATTGTCACTGGCCGACCTGGTCCGCCGGGCTGCCCGGCTGCTGGCCCCAAGTTCGGTTGACTGCCTGGCGACGCCTCAGATACGGCTCCAGCCCGCCCAACGCGCGTTCCGCGTACGTGTGCCGTGTCTCCGTGAGCAGCCGCAGCGCGTCGTCGCGCGTCCGCACCCCCGGGCCCGTGTTGGCGAGCAGCTTCACCACCGCCGCCTCCGTGAGCTCGTCTTCCACCGCGTCGTACCTCCGCGTCATGTCCAGCCCGATCCTGATGAGCGATAGCGCGCTCTCCGGCAGGAAGCTGCTGGCGTCCATCTGCGACGGCAGCGGCTGCGGGGCCGGGCCCTTCCCGTCGGTCAGCAGCAGGTACCCCAGCTCGCTGACCATCGCGTCGGGCGGCACCCCCGGGTCCTTCCTCACGGCCACGTGCGCCTGCTGCACGTGGGACAGCGCGCCCGCGACTGTGGCGCCCGGCGCGGGCAGCACGCAAATGTCCTTGATGAACATGGCCGGGATGAGCACGTACCCGCTATCGCCCTTCAGCAGGGTGAAGTACTCGTGCTGCGCCCTTTCGTTCATCAGCTGGTGCATCGCCCGCCACGCCGATGCCGATATCGTGTGGTTCGGCACGTGGAACCGCTTGGGGCTGCCAAACCACACCACCGTGTACACCTTGCCGTCGGACCCCAGTACCTCAGCCCCGTGGAGTCCCACAGCCTCGCTCACGTTTTGGATAGCTCGTTGCTTGTAGGCCACCTTGCCGCGTATGTTTACACGCAAGTAGTTACGGAACCTCTCGGCCCCCTTCCTTTTCTGGTCGAGCAGATAGAAGGGCTTTGCGTCCACCCCCGCCTCTTTGAGCCGGGCCTCCAGCGCTTCCAACTTGACCTGCCGGTCCAGCATCGTGCGCGTCGGCTGGAACCCGTGCGACACGTGCTTGAACTCCACCGTCGCCACATTCGGCTCCATCGGCTGTCCGTATCCCACGCTGCTTTCCCTCCAAGCCTCCTGGGCGACCGGCATGCCCTGTTGCAACGCTCCAGTCCCATAATGCTCCACATTAATACTTCCATCCCAGTAATTACGCCCCTCACCGTGCACCTCCATAGGAATTTGCTCTTGCGCCAAAATAATCCTCGGCGCGTCCCACCTGGGGTGAGCGTGAATAGGCACGTTTTCCCTTCTCTCTTGCCTCGGCTGGGACTTATTGACGTTCACTGAACCCGCATTGGCGACTTGCCCGGCAATCACCTTTCCGCAATCCAGCATGTACTTCGCGAACACCCCCCTCTCCAGGTCGCCGATTACCCGGGTGTTGGAGGCGACGCACTTTGGAAACGACCGTCGCCATATCCGCAGCATCGACCGAACGTCTAACCAGCGGAAATCAACGTCCAACGGCGACATTAACGCTGTCAGCGCTTTCAGGACACGTTTGTACGGCAACCCCCAGAAGGAGCACCGTTCCGCTCCCAGGCTCATGTTGATGAGCGACCCGTGGTTTCTGTGAACCGTGCCATTCCTCGACAGCTTTTCAAGATCGAAATGGATGACTTGATGGCGCGCGCCGAATACCGGGATGCTTGTGACCACCACTTTAAACATTCCCACGTTTTCCCTCACCATCTCCACAACGGCATCGGGGCTCTGCGCCGACAAGAGGGCCACGCCTCGCCTTAGATTATCCTTCACCACGTCACTCAATGCCACATTTTCCATTGCCTTCTCTATTTCAGGCACAGGTTCGAATTTTCCCTCCAGCGCTTCCCTGTATGCCTTTATGTACTTCGCCTCGGTGTGTATTGCTGCAGGGTAGATGCCGTCCTCGAGGACACGGTCGACAATCTGTTGTACCGCCTTCTTCTCCATATCACCAAGCGAGTAATCCAGATCAAACACCTGCATCGTTTTTATCCCCAACTTACTCGACTCCAGGTTTACCACTCCGTCCAGGTAGTCATCTATGGTCATCTTCGGGGCCTGCACGCCCTCTCCACTTTCGCCACCTGGCTCTGCCCCCTCTGTCGATCCTTCACCCAGCTTCCCTCGCAACATTTTCTCGTCAAGGTGCTGCTTCACATAGTCGTACGCCCCCTGACTGTAGTGCTTCAGTTTGTTAATGGTGTCGACGCCCCGTAGCGAAAGCGCCTCCTTCACGATGTCCTTGCACATGGCATCGAACTGCCGATTGAGCGGAAAGTTGGTCGGCCGAATACCTTCAAAATTCGCCGCCACCGCGAGCGGTTTTATATCGTTCATCTTCAGTGCCTTCGACATCAGCGACACGTGGCCTCTGCTGTACCGAGGCGACGCTGTTGTTTCGAAGGGGTCAAAATTCCAGTTGTCATAAAACACCCGGTACTCCGGCAGCCTTTGCGCCAATAAAAACTCCGTCGGCCCCACCACCCGCCCGAGCCACTGTGCCACGTTTTGCGGATTAAACACGTACGGCGCTAGTGCCACCAGCTGGCACTCGCTCCGCATCGCCGAAACCACCATATCGAATAGCGACGTAATTGTTCTGCCCTTACCTGTATCCAGACGCGCCATGAATCCGTCTGTCACAACTACGCGCTTCCCCGGCTCGTCCAGCTTTATTCTTTCCACCAGCTGTTCTGGCGTACGGTAGCTGCGCCGCGCCCACCTGCGAAACGACAGCAGCGCGTCTTCATGCGGCGCGAACATCGCGTTGTCATCCAAGCTGCGGTTCGCCAGATCCTTATGTTGACGAAGGAAGCAGTCGACAAGGGCCCTTAGCGCTGACACAAACTCTTCCTGGTTACTTTCATCCACCAGAACGCCACCATAGATGATTTTACCGTCTTTTGCATTTAATACATCACCATCATTAACCTGTGACTCTTCCACCGCATCGCCCCCTTCTCCCTCGGCTTCTGCTTCCACCTGTGTTAGGGTTTCCCGCAGGACGCCCATCAGTGTTACCACATCAGTCGGATCCACGCTGTTTACCACGTTGTACACATCAAAAATCGGCCGAAAATTGGTGACGGTCAGCATACTGTTGGGCTCTATGCTGATGTAGTTTTTCAAAATGACGTTCACCTTCCCCAGGGACTCCAGCAACGAACTGTGTTTGTCGAACAGATCCCTCACATGCCATTTCTTTCTGCAGACGTACAACACATGCGGGGCATTTTTTTTCTTCCTCTTATGTTCCGCCAGGCGGCTGAGGAGCGCTGCGAACATTTCCGTTTTTATTTCTTCGCGGCACCCCATGGCGCAGAAGTTCTGCGCCATCGGCTTATCTTCAAAAGCTTTCTCCACCATTTCATCAACATTCACACTCATCCATCGTTTCATCTTCCTGCCATGTTCGGCCCTCTTGTCTCTGGGACTCCCAACAGTCTCAGAATTTCCGTACGATTGGGCACTTGACTCAACATGTTCCTCATCCCTTTCGACTTCCCTGCCATCTACGATATTCTCCGCATAAGCTCCCTCCACATCCGCTAACTCCCCGATTACACCATTGCACTTCGATGTTGCGTCAATTACCTGGCTGCTCAGCGCCTCTGATATTAAACATGGCGAGGCAGCATCGTTCACCTGTGATGTCGCATCCTCGACACCGTTACATTTGGACGTCTCAGCTACCCATCCAGTTTCAGCTGCTTCAGATGGCACACCGTTACCAATCGCGATGTTTGTATTGCCTGGTGATGTGTCTGATTTCGGAGCTCCATCCCCCGGTTCTCCATCGCCTCCTCCGTATTGCACTTCTTCGGCTTCCGCTGACCTCACCAGAGACAGCCGCGCACCTAAGTCACAGCTCCTGACCTGTCTGACGCCCAGGAACGCCCGCACCTGGAGCAAGCGCAGCGCTTTCCTGCCGCACAGCTCCGGCAACAGCCTTCCGTCCGCGGCGCCGAAGCGCAGGGCGGCCAGGGCCAGAACTAGCCTCAGAAGCACACACATCGACCCCTCCAAGCCTCTATTCCCATCTACGGCAAATGTGCACTCGCGCTGCCGTCATTCCGGCAGCGGAAGGCAGCTAGGCGTAACGTCGGTGTCTGAGTCCCTAGAATCAAAAACATTCTGAAACGCCAGTGGTAGCACCTGAGCGTGCTAACCGTGAAAGTGTGCCAGTGGTCATTCGCACAGGTAGGGGAGCTACCGGCTTAGCTGAGGCCCCGCGTCACGTCCACACGAACTAATGGAAGGAACCCAGTCTGGCGCTACCACAGTATCATAAAATGAATTAGGCGCCCGTTGGCGCCTGCATAGCTCAGTAGGTTAGAGCATTCGCTTAGTAAGCGAAAGGTCGTCGGTTCGAATCCGGCTGTAGGCTTTTTGTTGTCAAGTTCTGGAATCTACTATATTTACACGGCCCCAGTTTTCACGGTATATAATTATACTTCAGATGTTTAAGTGTAAAACGTGTAGATATAAAGTTTCTGCTGTTGCCTTTCCACTTCACGTTGCGGCACACAATGGCCTATTGCCATTCACCTCAACCACCGGAACCTAATTTTATCCTTACCTGCAGGACTTTACACAGACACAACACCATCTATTGTATCCTGTGATTTACCCTTTGGTACATGGAAACTCACATCTCACTAGCGTACACGCCGTCTACGCCACGCCGGTGTTTTGGCAACCCTGCCTGCTTTCGGAGCGGATGTGCATTAAGCCAATGCCTCCTCACTACCAGATCTATAAGATAAATCCCAAACTGCTTTGATGCCTTCCTCGCGGAGCCTATCCCCGGAACAACGGCGGGTTGTCTGTCCGCGAAGACATTACACATACACACTACCATTCGCAGAGACTCTAACTGCGCACAGGACAAGCTGCGAAATCAAATATAGCCTCGTAGCCTCGCCTACAAAGCTGTAGCTATGTAGCCGCCGAAGAGCGCCACATGGTCGCTCTGGTGGATTCGCCGTGATTCTCGGGATCCCTCCGCAAAGGAGGTCCCAAAGCAGCAACCGGCCAACACGGCACGCCCAGCACACAGCAGAAGCGGGTGTGCGCGCCCAGCTGCGCCAAGCTGTGAGGATGGAGGAATCCCTGCCCGAGCACCTGCAGGCGCAACTGGACGAAGTCCACGCGCTGCATTACATCTTCTACCCAGCCACAGTGCAGTGCCGCGGAGGAATCGCAGCAGAGATGTTCGCAGAAGACCTGATGCCACCAGAGGAGTACCTAGAACTGCTCTCCAGGTTGACCATCAGGACGCGACTCGAGCTCTACGCCGAGTCCGTCGAGGGCACACCGCCGGAGTCGCTGCTGAAGGTCGGGTTCCGAGTCTCCCCGTACACGGGAGACTTCTCGCACAGCACCAAGAGGCCGCAGAGCTTCATTGAAGTCACCTTCCCAGCGGAATACCCCGCCGTGCTGCCACGCATCGCCATCATGATGAACATGTCGCTCGCGGAGCAGAGCAAGGCCGAGCTGGTGTCGCGGCTGAATCGCGCAGTGCGCGACACCCAGGGCGGCATCTGCGTCTTCAACGTCGCCATTTCCCTGAACGAGGTGCTGAGCGACATCCACGCCAAGCAGTACCGCCTGTGGGACGAGGCGACCAGCGAGACCCTCGACATCGACCACCACCAGGCCACCTCCTTCGAGTCCTCGACGTCCGTGCAGCGGCTCTACTCCCTGGACAACCCGAAGCTGCACCGCGTGTTCAGCAGCACCCGGCTGACCTCGGACAAGCCCACGGCGACCCCGGACCACCCGACGGCGGGCGGCCGACCGGACAACGCCGAGATGCTGCCACAGTCGCACCGCAACTCCGCCAGCTCCGCCCACGAAGCCTCGACGGTGGACCGCGAAATGTACTCCTCCAGCTTCGACATCGCCGGCTGGTCGCTGCAGTCCCTGATCCAGTCGCCGCTCTGGTACGAGACCGGCCGCAGGTCGCTCGAGGAAGGACAGCGGGAAACCTCCAGCAGGTTCCTGGTCCGCCAAGGGTCGACCTTCCGCGGCGACGAACGCCACTGGCCGCCCTTTGGGCTGCCAGTGCAAGCCCACCGCACCTGGTCCAACGAGTTCGAGTCCCAGGCCGACACCACCGACGTCGGCACCGACAACACCTCGGCCCTCCCCTCCGAGCTCGGCCGGGCGTCCTCCTGCCTGCCGATTCCGCGCGAAGTGCGCGCCGAAGCCTGCTCCCTCGACACCGAGACCCTCCTGACCATCAGCCGGTCGATGGCGCTGATCGACTTCCTGGCCTCCCTCAGCTCCGTGGAGCGCTACCGCCAGGACTTCACCGAGACCATGACCATCCTGCAGAACAGCTTCTCGTCCTTCGTCAAGGCGCAGCACATGCTCGACCAGAACCTCTACATGGTGCGCACCTACACCCTCCCGAACTTCTGCGTCCTCGAGACGCAGCACGCCGACTTCGAGCCCAAGGACGACATCGAGCGCTTCGGCGCCCGCCGCAAAAGCATCATCCACCAGCTCGTCTCCTCCGTGGCCCTGCTGGCCCGCCTGCAGCACAACAGCATCGCCCGCTACTACCAGTGCTGGGTCGAGAAGGTCCAGCAGTTCGACGTGATATCGCAGCTGCTGCGCCGCGGAGAGGCCCTGCTGGAGGGCGACCACCGCGCGCTGTCCGGCGAGGACGGCGACCCGGACTCCCTGAGTCACTGGGTGCAGTACCTCCTGCTGAACAACAGCAGCCTCCGCGACGAGGCGTCGGTGGCCGAGTTCATCATGGGCGAGGCGGTGACCCGCCGCCGCATGTACATCCAGATGGAGCACTGCGACGGCACCAGCCTCGACCAGGTGATCCAGCACGACTCGCTCTACAAGAACCCGCAGCGCATCTGGACCTTCACGCGCCACCTGCTGGACGTGCTCGCGTACCTCCACAGCAACAACGCCTACCACCAGGCGCTCTCGCTGAAGAACATCATCGTCTACACCGACGCCGCGGGCACCGGCGTCAAGGTCTGCGAGTTCGGCATCGCCCGCCTCCTGCGCCAGTTCTGCTACACCGGCTTCTTCTGCCAGCACGCCCACTGCGCCTGCCGCGAGTACTCCCGGCAGCTCCGCCGGGAGCTCTTCGCCTACCACCCCTCCACCTTCGGCGTCGGCGACCCCGTCAACTTCGCCGACCAGCTGGCGCTGCAGGTCGTCTCCGACTACGACGCCCAGCAGGAGGACATGTTCGCCCTGGGCGTGCTCATCTTCCGCATGTGGCACCCGCCCATCGAGGAGCGCCCGTTCAAGGAGCTCTTCACGAGCGTGATTGCCACCAAGAAGTTCCCGCAGTACTTTCTGCAGTCCACCCCCGAAATCATCGTCAGCACCATCGTGCGGCTGGTGAGCGCCGAGCGCCGCCCCACCGCGGTGGAGCTGCTGAGCGAGACGCTCGTGCCGCCGGTGATGAACAGCGACCTCTACAAGCAGTACCTCCGCCGGCTGCAGAACCCGCTCTCCGACGAGGCCGTGGACGCCCTGCGGTTCCTCTTCCGCCGCGGCTGGAAGAGCGACGTGACGCGCCTGCGTTCCGAGGTCCCCCTCGGCTCGCTGCCGACCCTCTCCTTCGTCATCGACGGGCTGGAGCTGTTTATGCGGCGGCGCTCCGTCGTCGTGGGCCCTCCCCCCGTCTTCCACCCCG